GGTACGCAACCACAAATACTACGGTCAATAAAAATAGGTACGCAACCACAAATACTACGGTCACTTGTTATAGAAAACGACGTCATCGAAGCAGTTAACGAATTTGTATACCTGGAAGCGCTCGTCAATACTAAAACTAACACTGCAGAGATAAAACGCAGAATTTGCACGGCTAATAGATGCTATTTTGGGCTTAATCTCCTTTTTAAATCTACAGTTATATCAACAAATACAAAAGTAAAACCCTACAAAACAATAAGACGCCCAGTCCTAACATATGGTTCAAAACCTGGACTTTAATAAAAAGCAATGAAAACATGTTAGGATGTTGTTGCGTTCTGCACATACGATGACCTCAATATAACAATTGGAGTCATCCTGAAGGGGAAGATAATGATATTCTGTTAATTCTAGAACTCGCGGGTTGTAAAGCCAAAATGATGATGATGGTATAAATGTGTTCTAAAGGCAGTTTGGACCTACGGTATACAGATATGGGGTACAGCATCTAATTCTCACTTACTAAAACTTTAGCGTTTTCAATCTAAAGTTTTGCATAGCGCAGCGCATTGGTAATATCTGTGGTATATGCTCAATTTTGTTATACACCGAGACCCTTAGATCCAAAACAATAAAGACACCGTTGTCTCACTCAGTGGCACTTAAAAAATAAACTACTGAACCATCCAAATACGCTTGCTCAAGACCTACTGAAGCGACCGAGGAGAGGAAGACTAAAACGCCGTGATCCGTTAGACCTTTCTATACCCTAAAATACATAAACCTATTCTTTATCATATTATACCTAACTGTGTGTGTATTTTAACTATTGCTATTTTTTAATATGTTAGTGTATGTCTTTGTAAAATACCAACAGACTGACTAAAATCAACATTCGTAGCATTACTAAAAAAATATAATTCCTCACAATGCGATGATTATCAAATATTAAGCTTGATGTCTCATGTCCTTAAAACTTTTCTCAGAATTATCCATACACGAATTTCCAAGAAGTGCGAGTTCCAGATGAGTGACATTCAATTTGGATTTCGAAACGAATTGGGAACACGAGAGGCTCTTTTTACTTTAAATTTGTTAACGCAACGATGCAGAGACATGAATGTAGATGTACATGCATGTTTTATTGACTATCGAAAAACATTTGACTGCGTTAACCATAAAAAGATGATCGAAATTCTGAGAACAACTGGGGTTGACGAACAAGACTTGCGAATTATCTCAGAACTATACTGGCACCAAACGGCAGCAATTGAAATAAAGCACACAACATCCGAAGATATACAAATCCGACAAGGAGTGAGACGGGGTTGCGTCTTATCACCGCTATTGTTTAATTTGTATTCAGAGTCTAAATTCAGAGGAGCATTAAACGAGGTCCAAGGCGGAATTAATATTAACGGAATCAGCATAGACAACATCAGATATGTTGAGATACCAATAAACCTAGATGTATATTCCTGGAAGGGTCAAATAATAGAATAGGTAAATTTCATCAAATATTTGGGAGTAAATATCAATAGTCAGCTAAGAAAGAATCATTAGCTGGTGTCGGTTCTCTTATTTCTAATCAGCATGTCCATAAGATTAGACAATATATTGGAATTTCAGAAAGGATCGCGGCTCTAATAATAAACATAATTAAAAATATAAGTTTAAAGATCATACAAATTTATCATACAGATGAAGAAGTAAAGATATTCTACGAATCATTGACACAAACAGTGAACAAATACAAAAGCACCTACACAATCATTATAGACGACTTCAATGCCAAATTAGGGAGAAAACTAGAAGAATCAGAAAATAAAATCGGCAACTTTGAATATGGAACACGAAACGAAAGAGGAGAAACATTGATGAACTATATGGAAACGAACGGTCTATATGCGATGAATACCTTTTTCAATAAAAAACCACAGAGAAAATGGACGTGGGTCGCGCCCAATGGTTTAACAAAAAATGAGATTGATTACATCCTATCCAAAGAAAAGAACATAGTACAAGACGTTACGGTCATAAACATGATTTCCGTAGGAAGTAATCACAGAATTGTTAGAGCCAAAATCAAAATTAACTCCACAACAGACAGACAAAAATTTAAACCATCTAAAAAAGAGATAGATACAGAACTTCTTAAAGAACGCAAAGAACAATACATAAACCAGCTAAAAAGAAGTGACATATCACAGCTAAAGGGTTTGCAACTAGACGAATTAAACGATAAAATAACAACATAACAAACTACTAGAAGCAGGCCTGAAGATTGCTAATAAACAAAAGCGAAGAAAAAACAAAAAATTAGCGCTAAATCACAAGATATGCTAAAAAAACGACGACAACTCCTGAATGATAACAAAAGAAATACAGTGGAGTTTACCGAACTGAACAAAACCATAAGAAAATAGATAAAGGAAGATTTAAAGAAATACCAAGTAGATCGCATTAAGACAAATATAGGAAAAAGAAAACTAATTATGCTTAAAGCTGAGAACAATGAAGAAAGAGATCTAGGAGAAATAGTAAAAATCACAGAAAGATATTACACAGACCTATACAGTTCTAAAAATGACCCACCACTATCATCTAAACAGAATCTCTCGAGGAAAATACAAAATGTTGGCTCAGAGGTATTACCAGAAATAACTGAAGATGAAATCGAAAAATCCATAAACGACATGAAAAGAAATAAAGCGGCCGGTGAGGACAAAATACTGGCGGAACTGCTAAAAGAAGGAGGAGACACGATAAAAAAAATGCTAAAAATACTGTTCAACAAATGTCTGTTTGAAGGTAAAATACCTAAACAATGGAGAAATGCCAACACAATCTTAATACATAAGAAAGGAGACCGAACAGACCTAAACAACTACCGTCCTATTTCCCTTTTGTCACAACTATATAAAACCTTCACAAGAATAATAAACAACCGACTAACCTATAAACTTGATAACTACCAACCAGTGGAACAGGCCGGATTCAGGAAAGGATACAGCACAATCGACCATCTACATGCGCTTAAAATCTTAATTGAGAAAACCAATGAATACAACCTTCCGCTGTACTTAGCATTCGTAGATTATGAAAAGGCTTTCGACAGCATTGAACACTGGGCGGTTGAAGAAGCTCTGGTCAATAGTAGAATAGATTCAAGATACCGACAATTGATACATGATATTTACCAAAACGCAACCATGACCGTAATTCTGGACGACAAATTAATAACGGATAATATAAAAGTTAAACGAGGAGTCCGACAAGGCGATATAATTTCACCTAAACTGTTTACCTTGACCCTCGAAGACATAATAAAATCAACAGATTGGGAAAACAGAGGAATATGTATTAACGGAAAATACCTAAATCACCTTAGATATGCGGATGATATACTCCTGATCTCCTCGGAACGACAAGAACTGGAATTAATGCTGAATGAACTTCATGAAAAATCACTGCAAAAAGGCCTAAAAATTAACTTCAACAAAACAAAAGTAATGACAAACACGGAAGACCAAGAGGCAATAAAAATACAAACAGAAAAAATAGAACAGGTAAATGAGTATATCTATCTAGGACAAGCAATCAGAGCTAACAGAGAAAATCAAACAGCCGAAATATCGAGACGAGTAAGAATGGGATGGGCAGCGTTCGGCAAACTTTCTTACGTTCTAAAAAATCAAACAATCCCTCTATACTTACGAAGCAAGGTATATAACTCCTGTATAATACCGGTGCTCACCTACGGAGCACAGACATGGACATTTACACAGGCCAATTTGGATAGGATAAGGAAGGCACAAAGAGCGATGGAGAGACAAATGTTGGGTTATCACTTAAGATAGAAAACGTAACCAGTGGATCAGAACCAGAACAAAGACAGTAGACGCGATAGAACAAGCAGCAAAACTGAAATGGAAATGGGCTGGACACAATGAACGTCTCCAAGACGGACGATGGAACAATGCCATCGGAAAGTGGCGTCCATACAATGCAAAGAGATCAAGAGGCAGACCACAGATGAGGTGGAAAGATGACATCAGGAAACAAGGAGGTCCCACATGGCAGAGAACAGCTCAAGATAGGGAAAGATGGAGAGAACTGGGGGAGACCTATATCCAACAATGGAAGGATAGAGAATAGGTTCATGAAAAAAAAAAATCAATAGTCAGTGTAATCAAAAAAAAAACACTATCAAGAATCGAACAAACAAGGAAAACATTAATGAACATGAAAACATTTTTTACAAGATCAGACTTTAGTCTGCAGCTTAGAATCCGAATGATCAGATGTTAGGTTTTTTCTGTCTTACTGTATAGCTGTCAAAGTTGAACAATGGACTCTGAAATAGGAAAAAGAATAGCTTTATATATACAGATAAATGTTGAGAATTCCATGGGTACAAAGAGTTACTAATGTTGAGGTACTCCATGTGTAAAAAAAAAGAATTACTAAGAATAATCAAAGAGAGGAAAATGCAATACTTGGGTCATGTGTTGAGAGGCGAAAATATGAATTACTTCAAGTTATACTGGAAGGAAAAGTACAGGGCAAAAGATCAGTAGGAAGACGCCAGAACTCGTGGCTGAAAGACCTGAGGAGATGGTTCGATCGCTCATCCGCAGAAATCTTTCGCGCAGCAGTTTCCAAAACTACAATTACCATTTTGATCGCCGATCTTCGAAAGGAGACGGCGCCATGAGAAGAACAATATGTCTTTGTAAAGTGTTATTTATATTTCAAATATTTATATGTATTAGAAATTTATCTCAATGGATTTTTGTCACTGGACGGATTTCCTTTATGTTAATTACGTAATAAACTTATTGATAAATGTTTTTTTATTATTATTTTTTTAATTGTATCTAAATTTATCCCCCTCCTACAAATAGCATTATAGCATTTCAATAATTATAATGTGCAGATAAAATGAATAATGGAATATAATATATAATATATATAATATATAACAACGTATTACTCACAGTGTGTTTAGAGCTTTCTTAATATCCTCTCTCTCGGAAGTTCTATCATCAAACAGTTCAGGTGATTCTTTTCTTAACCTATAGTAGGCAATAACAGTTTTCTTAGTCATTTCAACGTCATTGTTGCAAGACAGTAAAAACAGAACTATGAATTCATCTGATAATAAAGACGGTACATATTTTTCATCGCCTGCACGTAGCCATTTTTTAATAAGACTTATATTTTCTTGGGTTGTTCTTTTCTGAGCAACTACATCACTGGCAGAAAATTTAAATTTCATATCTGAAAATATGAGAAATATTCATTAAAATATAAATAAACATTAATAAAATTGAAAACTTTTAATATTTGTGGTTTTTAACCAAAGATTAAATAAATAATCAATTTTTCGCATAAAATTTCTTTAGTTTGTTTCATCTGTTTGACTGTATTTCCTAAAAGTTTTTTCTTCGTCTATACAATAATGATATGGTTGATAAAAGGTAGGTGACTATAATAATCATGTCTATTCTGTAGTGGAAATATGAAAAAAATGTCTAGGGTGCAAGCTGTTCAATAAGTAGTAGATGAACTCAAAGGAAAGGTAATAATACGGATTTTAACGCTCGAATAGGCAACCAAGCAATACCTGGAATTAAGCAAAAACATATATAGGAGAATGTTAAAAACAAAAATAAAAAACTGATAATAAACTTTTGCATGACCTGCGACTTTTGCAAGTTTGTTAAACGTCATTTTATAATATTTTATAATTATATGGATTAAAAACTAAAACTGTAGAGGTGAAGTCGTATAAAACATTTTGATTAGAATAATAAGGGTTATTCATGGAGATGAAAAATATTCTATCTCCTAAGTTGGACCAACAAATACTACTACTACTGGTCGGTTTATAATGTTCTCCGTCGTTTTCGACTTCCAATTGCCACTTAGTCCGGTTGTTTCATAGGTCTTCGTCTATGGCTCTCTCTCTCAGTTCTTTATTTATTCCTTCGCTCCAACTTTTTCTCGGTCTACATCGTTTCCTCTTTTCTTCTAGTTGCCATTTTAATATTTCTTTTGGTATTCGTTGTTCATCCATTATTTGTATGTGTCCAAACCAGATAAGTTGTTTTGTTGTTAGGTCATCTGTGATTGTTCGTTTGATTCCCATTATTTCTCTAATGCGTTCGTTGGTAATCCTTTCTCCTCTAGATTATTCCTGCGGCTCTTCTACAAAAATCCATTTCGGTCGCTTTCAGCGTTGCAGTGTTCTTTCTTTCAGTGGCCATACCTCACAGCTGTATAAAGTGATACTTTTTACTATAGTCTCATATATCCTCTTTTTATTTTCTTTGCTGATGGATTGGTCCCATAAAATGCTGTTTAACATTGTGATGGCTTTTTTCCCTTACGTATTTCTCTCTGTTATGGCTTTGTCTAATATTCCATCTTGTGAATTAGTGATACCTAGATATTTGTAGTCACAGCAGTGCTTTATCGTGGTGTTATCGTCTAATATGAGATCTTTTTGTTCTACTCCAATGCACAGGTATTTGGTTTTCTATTTACTTCTACACCCCATATATCATACTATTCACTTAATTTTCGTGCCACATAGTTTAAATCATCATAATCTTAAGCCATTATTGTAATGAAATGCAAAACCTTTATAAACTAGGTTTTAATATACAAGAAATTAGCATTGTTTTGTTTGAATGAATAACATGACAATTACATATGACATTAACTAAAACTAAGATGACAAATGACAAACACAGTTCACAGACCACAGGACATTCACCCCAACTTTATTTTTGAACAAAGTCTTTAAGGTAAGCAGGAGTGTTTCTTTCCCTGGTACCTCTTCTAATAAGACTGTGTTTATTTTCTTCCTCTAAAACACTTTCAATATGACCTTGATCTTCCAGAATGTTAACAGGAGAAATATTTGGATTTTCCTCACATATACTCAATCTAGGGCTTGGTGGATCTTTGATAAACTGTTCATTAGAAACCGCAGATTCCGATCCACTAACACAGTCCAGAGATGCATCTCCTCGTGGTGCAAGTTGTCTTAAGGCTACTGTTGTTTCTTTACCATCTTCACGTCTAACAACAGCATAGTTTGGATTTGCTTCAATTAGCTGTACTTCTTCAACGAGGGGTTCATATTTGGACTGCCTCACATTTTTTTTCATAAATACTTTTCCGGGGGTTATCAACCATGAAGGAAGTGCAGCTCCATTTATAGCTTTTCTGGAATGATGAAACATTCGCTCATGAGGGGTACTGTTTGTAGATGTACACAAAAGAGAACGAATTGAATGAAGAGCTATCTCAACTACTTCTTCCCACTGTTCAGTTTTTAAATGTTTAGATTTTAATGCAAGAGAAATAGTTTTCCATATAATTCCATTATATCTTTCTGTCTGGCCATTTCCTTCAGGATTGTAAGATGTTGTTCGGCTTGTTGGTATTCCTTGTGAATGGAGAAATGTTTTGACTTCTTGAGACATAAATGCCCCCCCTTGGTCTGAATGGATATAACTAGGCATTCCAAATAAAGAGAATAAGTTTGTAAGACACTTCACAACAGTTTTCGCTGAAACATCTTGACATGGATATACAAAGGGGAATCGAGAATATTCATCAACAATTGTTAGGATATATTTGTTATGAGATCTAGATGGAAGCGGTCCTTTAAAATCCAGAGACAATCTTTCAAAAGGCGAAGTAGCTTTAATTAATCTCCCTTGAGTTTTCAAAAACTTTGGTTTTATTTCTGCACAGATAGGACAGCGATTGGTCATTTCACGGACTTCATCAATAGTATATGGTAAGTTGCGTGTCTTTATCCAATGGACCATTCTGGTGATTCCTGGATGACACAAGGATTGATGTAGTTCAAATAGACTTGGTCGAGGATTTATTGAACAGCTCACTCGTGAGAAAGTATCTGGCACTACATTCTCAACTCCTGGTCGGTACTGAATATCGAAACTGTAGCATGATAATTCAAGGCGCCATCTGATAATCTTCTCATTTTTTATCTTACTAGTGTGGCGCATATTGAACATAAAAGAGACAGACTTTTGATCAGTTATAAGTCGAAAATGTTTACCTATCAAGAAATGTCTCCATTTTCTAAGAGCTTCCACTATTGCATAAGCCTCTTTTTCCACTGATGAATGATTTCTTTCACTTTTTGATAAGGTTCTTGAAAAGAAAGCAACAGGTCTTCCTCCTTGGCTAAGAGAAGCAGCAATACAAAAATCTGAAGCATCAGATTCAACGATAAAAGGAATCTTGTCATCAATTGTAGTAACAGCTGAAGAAATAATTTCAGATTTAAGAATTTGGAAAGCTTCAGCTGCTTGTTCTGTTAAAGGAAAAGTATTGCATGTGACTAGTTTTTGTATCTTTTCTGAAAATTGTGGGATAAATTTGGAATAATGTGCAAACATTCCGACAGCTCTCTTTAGTGATTGTGAATCGTTTGGTAAGGGTAACTTCTTTAATGGTTCAAGTCTTTCAGGATCAGGTTTTAAGGTCTGATTTTCTATTTGATAACCCAAAAGTTTGATTGAATTTAGTGTATAAGAACTTTTATTTTGATTTATTGTTAGATTGTATTTCTTCGCTACTTCCATAAATTTATTAAGATTTTCATTATGTTGTTGTTGATTTAATCCACAAACCGTAATGTCATCAAGATATGCATACACACCTTTTAAATGTTCGGATTTAATAATACCATCGATAACCCTTTGAAAACAAGCCACTCCGTTGGTTACCCCAAAAGGAATCCGGCAAAATTGGTATAGTTGGCCGTTGGCTTCAAAAGCAGTGTATATTTTCTCTTCATTTTTAATTGGAATTTGATGGTATGCATTTTTAAGATCAATAGTACTGAAGACAGAATATCTTGCTACTTTTCTAACAATATCTTCAACATCTGGGAGAGGATAGGCATCTAAGTAAGTAAATTTATTAATTGTTTGTGAATAATCTACCACCATTCGCTTTTTGTGTGTTTCACTTTTTGTAATAAGTACTTGTGCACGCCAAGGAGAGTTGCTTTCTTCTATGATTCCATTCGATAGCAGATACTGTATCTCGTCAGATATGAATTTTCTATCTTCAGTTGAAAATTTTCTTGATTTAGTTGCCCTCGGTTTGCAATCATTTGATAGATTGGAGAATAATTTGGGTGGCTCTATATTTAAGTATGCCAAACTACAAATGTTATCTATATGATCAATAACTAAAGGCATTTTTGAGCCAGCAAAAGTGATTTCTAGAGAAGAATGTTGTTTAAGCAAGTCATGACCTATAACTACATCAGCACATAAATCTTGAATTATTGATAATTTGACATTTTTATATGAATGTTCGTTTATTTCTAAATTAACAAAGCAGTGTCCTGAGATAGTCGTTCTGAGTGCTGTTGAAGCCATTATTATGCTTGCATGACTTCTAAATGTTTTCACGTTTATAGACAATGCATAATTCTTACTGATATATGACTCAGAACTACCTGTGTCTATTAAACTTTCAGCTGTATTTCCATTCACCTTTATCTCAGTAACACTTTTAGATAAGCATTGAGGGGCAGCAGCAAGATTTCTAACATTCGAACTAGATGTAGTAGTAGCTAAAACAGCAGCTGATACTGAATTGGGCATCTGAAGCCTACATACCTTGGAAAAATGTCCAACTTTCGAGCATTTCTTACAAACTTTGTCTCTAGCAGGGCATAGGCTACGAGGATGCCTTTCAGTTGATCCACAAAAGTAACATTTCCAACTTTTCACAGCAGCAGAAGTATAATTAGTGTGCTCTCTGGTTTCAGAAGAAATTGCATTAATAATTTGTACAGGAGTTGTATAAGCCTCAGAGTGTTTTGAAGCTGACTCCAGAGACTGGGCTTTTACTATGGCATCTTGCAGAGTAATAGTGTTGTTTTCTAGTAAACGTTGTCTTATGTCATTAGAAAGAATGCCATTAATAAAAGAGTCTCTTATATAATCTTCTCTATTTTGGTCTGCAGAAACGGCTAGAAAATTACAGTCTTTGGAAAGCACTTTAAGATGTTGAACGTATTGACCTATATTTTCACCAGTTTGTTGTTTTTTTGTCATTAGGATATGTCTGGCAAAAATTTCATTTTTGGGTTTAACAAAAGCTGCTTCAAGAATACTTTTGGCTTCAGAATACTTTCTACAATCAGAGATGAGTTCATAGATATTGTTGCTCACGTAATTTACCAGTAGTTTGAATTTCTCCTCCTCTGAAACA